TTATATTATATTATATTATATTTCCTGGTCTTGTGAGATTGATCATCTTCTGATTTTTCAAGGATACTTCTTGAAGTATCCTTTTACAGAATAACAAAGCCACAGTCAGGATAAGTGCTAGGATATTTGTGAATTGTATTTCTTCTACAATTTGTAGTGCTTTCCTATGTCTGTCCTGAATAGTTACACAGGTTAGCCAAGCTTGTTAGGTGAGTTGGTCAAAGGATTCACTGAACTGGTTCACACTAGAGTATTAGAAACTTTGAATACTACTTGTTAAAGAAAGTACTCAATGTTACACTTACATTTTAAAAATTTGGAAGTCAAGGAGTGTATATCTAAGTTGAGATCAGGGATTCCCGAGAGAAAGACTGGAACTTGAGATTCTCAAATCAAATTGTTCATGGGTGTCAGTTTTCTAAGCAAAAGGCTGATTTCTGACATATCTGGGAACGTTCTGGACAAGTTTTTTTACTTGAGACCTATTACTCTCTACATACTGACTTTTATCAACAAATAAATGGAATTTTCCCTATATCTGATTAATAAGTATCTATCAGATTCCTTATCTCTAACATTGACTAGAGGCTTGAAAAAAATCTCGTGTTTAACAAAGAAAATGACTCTTAGATGTCCTATCAGGTATCCATTTTGCAAAATACAAAAGAAACTTTTACAAATCAATATTTCTAAAATTATCTCTTGAAATTCTAGAACAAAGCTCAGCTGGTTTTCTCTTCTTTGGTTCTGTCTCAGTGGTAGTTTAGAGGATTTGAGAATTGAAGGGCTTTTTCAATTATACAATAAGCAGCAGGTTTCCATTACAGTACAAAGCCTGTCATCTAAATAAATGTTAGGTGTTCTTATAAATAAGTGTCACAAGTAAATCTCAGACTGGTTCATTTATTTTTGATTCTGGTCCTGTGATTTCTGAAGTTTAAAAGAAAATATATCTGTCAGTCCTTAGGAAGTTTTCTTTTCCTTCAATTTGTTCCAAGCTTCTTCAGACTTCAAAATTATTTCCGAAGTTTAGTCCATAATTATACACAGTGTTTTTTTAATGCTTCTTATTAGCTTCTATGGCTATCATGTTTGGGCAGCAAGTAGATGAATAGTTTGAAGGTGTTGATTGAATGGTATGACATTTAAGTGGAAGTATGGATCATTATAATATCATTGTTAAACAAAACCAGAGTTGGAGACAGTAGTTGAAGTAAAAATAGATATTGTTCAGGAACTATAGCAACAGAGAACATAAACTTCTGTATAGAACTCTGCTGAGTTCCCAATACAAACAAAATAAGTGGGAATTTATAGCCAAGGAGCAATCAGTGGACGGAGAAATTGCTAACAGAAAGCATCAGAGGTAGGGAGGATCATGGTTAAGAGACCAGTGGGACTCCTATTGAAGGCAGGTTAGGGTAATCGAGTACCGTTTGGCATGTTAGGAAGGGAGGAATTTGATCATATATCAAAGACAATCAGATTATTTACAATGGGGAATTCACTCAAAAATGACTTAGCAGGGTTTTAGTAATACTAGGAAATGTTGAGAAAGCATTGAAACCTACAAGTGGAGACTTAGTTTGGAAGACAACACAGAGAAGCAAGACTTTATTTTGATCGGGAGTATTTATGCTAGCATGATATCAAAATGAAGGTGAAGGAGAAATCCACTGTAAAAAGTAAAATGGTACCATGTATGTGGATAAAAAGTACTTCAGTAATGCTGAGAACATAGATTAGCTATTTGCAAAGTGGTGTAAGTAAAGATTAAAAAGTTTTGATGGGCATAGGAAAGATCACATATGCTAGTATTGATCATACTAAAAGACTGAAGTCTTATTCTGATATTCGCTGACATGAATAACATATTTTTTTAACTGTTGATTCCATTACTGTTGTCAAAGTTTTAATGGAAGAATTACCTGTTGAAATAAAGGTTTGCAAGAGAAAGATATATGAACTGCAATAGTATTAAAAAGAATTAGACAAGTTTGAAAGATATTTTGGAGGTAAAATTGAAAATTTATACTGATTGGATGGAGCATAGGTGGAAGGATGCAAAAAGTCTTCAATATTTTAGTCTAAATAATGGATTGTTAAAAGATGAACAGTGAGATTCTTAATCATACTAGTGAATAAGTCAATATCTCATTGCTTTGAGAGAGGTGGAGTGGGACTATCTTCATTTTAGTTTTAAAGTTATGAACAGCTGAGCTAGCTTTGAAATTTAAGTGGCTGTCTGAGGCAATTGTTCATTATGAGGTCAGACTGTTGACCTCTATGCTGTACTTGAGGCTAAACAGCCAGGGATTAAGAAGTTTTAAACTCATGAAAAGTATTTTCTAAATTCTTGTTATCTACTAAATAAATATTTTGTTTTTGGTTTGTTCTTGCATTTCAAAAAAATGTCTGTAAAATGTCAAATTGAATGACCTTTCATATGAAGACTACTTTTCCATTGCAAAGACAGAAAGTAAGCACTATAAAAGTATGAGTAGAAGTGATCTTTCACTGGGTCACATTCTACTTCTTTACATTTCTCAGTAGGCTAAGACTCGAGTCCTGTACAGGTTTCTTTAATTTAAAGGAGGAGTCCATGCTCTGAAGATTTGCTGACTCATGTGAACACTGCTAGAGGGAAATTGAAGTAGGGGGAAAGACCTCCTTTGGAATTCATTCTAAATACAACAAAGACAAAGAAAGTGGAGTATTATGGACAAGGAGGTATGAGGGCTTGCTGAAGACAAGCCAGGGATATGAGATAGCAAGAATATGAGAAATGAGGAATTGGACCTGATATTGTGGGAAATCCAGTATCATGAGTGGGAGAATCTCATTAACTGACTTAGCAGTATTCTTGCTATTGCTGGGATATATAGTATAGTAAGGATAGAGACCACAGTCAAAGCCTCATTGAGAGAAGGACTTAGAGGAACCTAATATTTGTTCAAGGAGAAACCTCTCTCTCTCTCTCTCTCACTCTCTCTCTCTCTCTCTCTCACTCTCTCTCTCTCTCTCTCACACACACACAGAACATGCTAATTCCTGCTCCCAAGTTTGTTCTTTATTCCAGTGCTCCTGTATCTCCTACCTAAGGAAATTTGTGTGAGGAAACTATACATTAGAAACATTGCAAATATTTTATAAAGTTATAGATTTGAGAATAGTATGAAGAATTTAAAGGAAATACCAAAACAAAAACAAAAACAAAAAACAATGAGAACTAATAAAGAATTCCAAATAACATGGATTAGGCAAAAGTAAAAGTGACCAATAATTTAAACTGTGAAGAACTTTACAGCAGGCCAGAAGTTAAACTAATAGTGTACCTTTGTAACTACACAGATCTCAGAGATTATCTCCTTATTTTAAAGAATGGGAAGTTGAATCTCAGCTAATAGTAGGATTACACTCTCACTATATCAAAAAACTCTTTTTTCCCTCCAATATAATATTATTAAGGGAATGCACATCCATTTAGAAAAATTGATCGCAGAGAAGTACCTGACATTACTGTTCTCTCTCAATACATATTTGGCTTCAAGAATTTACCTTATTAATATTTTTATGGTTTATCTTGTATAATTAGTTGCTCACAGATATAATTTACTAGAACCTATTAAAAGGCTGATCAACTATATTGATAAATAACTTAATGAATTGGTTATTTTGTATTAAATTGAATTTATTTTCTTTTCAGCAATGACAATGCAGTTTATTAGTCATCAGTTTCCTGACTATCATGACCCCACTATTGGTGAGTAAAAGTCTGTTTTTTCCACTAGCCCAAGTAATGACACGCTAAAGAAGTATCTTAGAAATATTGTTAATGTTCATGGAGGATAAAAATACATTTTACACTATCAATATACACACATAAGCAATGTATAAGCTACTACAAAAAAATGCTTCAAGATGGAATGTGTCCTTACGTCTAGCTATGCACTCTTGGATACTCCATTCTATTGTATTTCTTTCTGATAAATAATAGTTGGAGTGCAGTAAGTCAATTATAGGATCCACTAGTAGATATCCACCTGTATTTGAATGTCTGAGCTTTGAGTAGTTAAATGACATTCATTTTATCAGCTTTTGGTTCTTCTGCAGAATTGGTAAACCATAATAGTAGAGTTTTTGCAAAGGACTTTAGAAGTAGAAGTAATTTTGTTTATTCCCCATCTTACAGATAATCTAACTGAGACCCCAAAGAATCAAAATACTGTTAGGACCCAGAATTCAGCAATGTTTCATTCTTCCTATCCAGTTTTCTTCCTGTAACTGTACACTACATGAACATTGTACTTGGGAACAAGTTTTATTATTATATTTATTATCTTGAGTCAAAGCCACTTTGACCCATTCAAAGAACTACTTTATGAAATCGCTTTAAAAATTCTGAAGCAAAATCTGCCATAGAATCCCTTGTTTAAAACACATTAGCATTGAAAACACATTAAGCACTGTTTCATGGAGAAGGAAACATAACTTCTGGACTGTTCATGGCTGTCTGCTGGCCTGGACTCTTGATTTAACAACACCTACACAGTTGATTTTCACAATCCGACTATCCCCTGTCATCACATACAATGGGTAAATCCTCTAGTTCCTACTTTGCTTATCAAAAAGCTTTATTTTAAAGTCTTACTGTGGATGTAAAGTGTTATCCTATATGTAATATTCTTATATTCCCTCCTTCAAATACTACAGGTTATTATTTGATGTTACTGGTGAAATGAATAAAAGTAACTATTTTTAAATGTTTCATAACTCAGCAAAAACTTTTCACTAGTTGAGCTAAGTTAGAAAAGATTTAAAGTGTAAGCAATTAGGATGCTGTTAAAAAGGAAGGACTTCCTCAAAAATTCAGTTCTGTTTCTAGAATAGTAACTTTGTAAGATTTTGTAAGTGGTTCACAGCAGCCTTTCTGTATGATCCTATAAATTCATTTTTGATTTTTAGCTTGTTAGTAGTTTTGCATAACCTAATGTGAGTTACAGAAAAGACTAACAACTCTTAATCTATAATCTAGGTAATGACTCTTAATCTTGTATCTTGTTGGACAATTCAGTAGTATAATATCATTTATGAAATCACAAACTCACTCTGTTCATTATTTTCCATCTAAGTTGGGGTTTATTTGTGTTGGTGTTTCAGAAACCTATCTTTAACTTACCCGTCTCTCATGTCTAGTAGTTAGACCAGGGAAATATATGAGCATAAATCATAAGTAGCTCTTTCAAGAGGAAGAAAAGGATGTGATGATGACACCTTTAGATATTTATGAGGCTCATCCATCATTACGATTGAGCTAAGTGGACATTCCATGTAACAGATAGCTGACATCATACCTTTAGATTGCTTTAAATAAATAGATGGAAAAGAAAGAGAGGAAGAAGTTTGAAAATGGAGACAGACCATTGTATTACTTTCATTTTGATTTCCTCATCACTTCATTTCTTTGCAACTCTAAAGGGAATATATTTAACAATTTTTCATTGGTGTTCTGCTTGAGGAGTGTGGAAGTCCTGTAAAATTTACGTCTTAACCTCTTCAAGCTACTCAACTATCACTGGCCCTACCACCCTTAGAGACCCTTCATGGAGAAAAAAGTATTAGTATTCCTTGAAAATCATACAAATTAAAAAATAATATACTAGCAGGAATACTTATTTTATAACTTTCATAAGAAATTAATATTTTTCCATCCTTATTCAAATCTGTCAATCCCACTGACTAAAGTTTTTGAGTAGTTTTTAGCTGAAATTTTTGAAAGTCTTGCCTGGCTTTTCTTTTTCCTTTATGTTCAGCATAACTTACTTTCTTTCAAATAGACAGTAATTCAGAAAGTTTAGGTTCCTTTTATCACTGACAAGAATTAGGGATCTTATCTGGTGTCATTGTTCTTCCTAAAGAATTAATTAAACTCTTTGTTTATTGGTAGTACTTTCAAAGTCAGTAACAGTGGCTCTAACTTCTGTAGGCTTACAGAAGTTACTTATGAAAAGGATATTGAGAAATATTGATTCCATTTCTTTATGTAAGAAGAGCTCACTTGAAATTAAATTAAGTGCCTCATCAAGGTGGTGAATATAAAGTTCTAAGTTAATCTTTAAAATGGTATATCTATAAGCAGTTGACGTGTTAAGGGTAGTTTGATTTTTTTCTTAGTATAATAATTATAGAAATACTGTGAAAAAATATTTTCACCACAGGCCTGATGCCTAACCCTTCATAACAATAAATGCAAATACCACTTTCAATTAACCATAAATCAATAGAGATCATCATTGTGTACAATTCAATGGACAAATAATTTTGAATGCCTACAATTTGCAAAGCAGTATGAAATAAAAGATAAAAATATCCCAGTTCAAGTCTTGATGTATTTTCAATTCAGGAAGAAGAATTAAGACAAATGTACAAATATTTATAATATCAATGGGGTCTGTAGTACAAGAAAGAAGTTAAATCACTGAGGGATTTTTAAAAGGATGTAGAGGCAACTAGTTCAGTGTTCTTTTAAATCACACTCACTGTGGTTTTGGATCACAGCTCCCTGTGTATTGATACAAATATTTATATAGTTTCTTAATATTTTTATTTATTTGTACTTACAAGAACTAGGGTATAGGCCTGAAGTTTGGGGGCAGGGAGAGTGGATGATGAGATTCACCAGAAACAGAGTAGGTAGCAGAAAAGGCAGATCTACTGACTGCTGAGTGGAGCAGTGGACAAGACAGGAGAAGTCTGCCATACCATGTGGGTCAGCTCCCTGCCCAGGGCTGGAACTCATGCATTAGTGGCTGGTGATAGCTTGATTATGCCACCGAGGTCCTTATATATTTCTTTTAATGGATGTACCATTGTTATAGGGCACCTCAATTCAGAGAGAGGCACCCCTGAAGCCCCAAAACCTGCCTGCTCTAAGTGGGTTCTGCCATCCGCCGCAACAAGACAAAACATATAAAGCTTTAATGAAAAGTGACTTTAATACAGTGAATATACAATATGGGACACAAAGAATATAACTTCTAAATCAAACACCTGAAGTTACCCATCCCCTCGTGGGCAAAAGTCAACCCAAAAGGGACTGGCCCAAAGCAAGGCCTGAAAGCCTGCCACAAGACTAAAGCACCTTCTGGCCGGGACCCATGGAAAAGGGTCAGAAATGGCCAGACAAGTCTGGGAGGAAAAGAGCAAAATCAAAATCAATATAAACACTGCCATAGTCACCTCCCTACAGGTATCTCACCCACATCTGCCTTAACCAGTCCAGGGTCAGGAAACAAGCCCGGTTTCTTCATCTCATGTTTGCTGCTCCATGTGGCTTCCTTAGGTCTCCTTCTTCCTTTTGCTTCTGCCTCTCTTCTTCTCTCTCCTTTTTCTCTGCTCAGTTCCACCCTCCTTCTGGGTGGGGCAGGGAACCTGGAACTTCTCTTCTCCCAGGGACCACCCAGTTACACCATTAGCTTACAATATTATATGATCCCCTCTGACCGTTTTTTCCATAAGCACCACTCTGTTGTCAGAGTCTAGTTTTCTTTTCCTTTCGTCTGGAACTTTTTTTTTTTTCCCTTTATATTCTACATTTGAGTGAAATCATCTCGTACTTGTCTTTCTGTTTCTGATTTATTTAGCTTAACATGATCAGCTCAATAAGTGGTAATGTGTTTTTTATACATCTACTAGTCTTCTTTTGTGTGGGTATAACACACCTTTATCCACTCATCTGTCCATGGACATTCTGGTGCTCCTGTCTTTTCAAATTAATGTTTTTATAGTCATTGACTAGATACCAACAAATTGAATTTTTGGATTAGATGGTTGTTCTATTTTTATTTTTCTGTTTGTTTTAAAAGCAAAGATAATCCTGCCTTCCTTCTAGAATTCAGGATACTCTGAGGAGATTTTTCAGAGAGGTCTGGAATTCTCAAAGAATTTGAAAAAGATCACCTAGGTTTTCTTTTGTAACTTTATTCCTTTTTTAACTTGCTTTAAATAAAAAATCTGTATTCTCATGTGGATTGTATATTCAGTTTTATTATTGTGTATTGATTTCTTCATCTATTGATAATTATTTCTATTCATGTTTATTGAGAATCAAAGAAATGCAAACTTGTAAGCTTAGAAAGGTCACTTCACTTGGAAAATTGGTGAAGATGTAATCTCAACTATTTTTACACAAGTCAGACATTTGATACTGGATGGAAAATTCTAAATTATGAAATATTTTATATAGCATCATAACTTTGATCACCTTATGTATGTAATTGGTGATTATCTTTCACTGTCTTCAATGATTGTTGATTTGGCCTCCTTTCCAAGGAAGCCTGTAAAACTTAATCATATTATCAAGATATATCCACCAAGATAGCTTGAGACAAAAATACATATAGCTCAAGCACAGAAGAACATTTTTCAAACTATTTTTTTAATAAACAAACAAATCAACATCAGTCAAATTAATAAGGGAAAAAGACAAATTTGATTTCATACCTATAAAATATTTACATGACCATAAATTGTAATGTAATTTCGACAACTTGGGAATTTATATCCTGAGCTATGGAATGGCTGCATTCCATAGGAGCTGGTGCATTGAGGAGACAAGAGAGTCTCACAGAGAAGAAGATGATTATATGACAAAAATCTTGCCTCTTCATATTTGTATTTCTTAAGATAGCTTTCTTTAATCAATTGAAATAAAAGGCTATTTCTGAAGATGACCATATATCTGGTAATCTTTGTTCCTAAAGA